ACGGCCAATCTCGTGAGCGTTGTCGTCACTCTGATCTTGCCGACTCTCCCGGCCATGACTGCTAGCAGGTCTCGGTGAAAGGCCCGCCAAGTTGTACTCGCGCAATCTGGTTGCACTTATCCGGGCGTGCGATAGACCAAAGTCAGCGCTCAGCGAGTTGCGCGCGCTCTCGATGGCGCGAACATCTTCTGGGCGGATAGAGTGGGATCTTAACGCCCGATCAAATTCAGTGATGGGCAGGGAAGCTGATCGCTTGGATTCCGCTCCTGGGAAAGGTCGAGTCCGTGACCTGGGAGCTGACCTGTCTCTATGACTTAAACTAGGCACCGAGTCTTGGCCATCTTCACCCGTTGATCGACGGTGTGGCCCGGGGCGCATTGGCGTGGAACCGGTTTCTGAATCAGTATTGTTGGGACTATCATTGCCGCTTAGTTTCTTTTTTCGATTGAAAAGCTTCCCCAAAGCGCCCCGGAGAGTTGACTGCTTCCGTTGAGGGCGCTCCTTGTCCCTTGTGTCCGCGCTGACGAAGGAATGCCGCACGTTGTTGGATGGTTCGGCCTTTTGCAAGCGACTTATTGTGCCAGGCTGTCGAGCATGCAACGAGGACCTCGGCTCTTCCCTGAAAGCGTGAGGTCCATTCCGACGAGGCTCTGGGAACGTGGGAGATCTGAAATCGTTGCGCGACGGGGTGGACTCAGCGGCCTTGGCCTGGGATTCATTGAATTCACCCTGCAGAGGCGTAGCCATGTTGGTACCTGGGTTGCGAATAGGGAACTCGTCATCCAAAGAAGTCGAAATAGGGACAGGCCCAGATATCCTGCCGCGAATATTGGACTGCTGTATATCAACAGGCTGAGCAGTGGGAGCAGTGCTGGCTGCTGATCTCCACGGCTTCTTCATGTTGGAAACGTGAAGGAGAACAGCAAGCTGCGAATCGAATGTAGAAGTAGAAATATGATAAAAGGGTCTTAAGCGAAGGTAACAGAATGGAATGTCGGAGTAAGAGCGGTCAGAGTTAGATACTGTAGATGGATGACATGCCCTGGCGCATATTGATGAAGGAGTGCTCGTAAAACAGGCTCACAATCCGTGCGCTCATCCATACAAGGGCAGCCTGGCCTATCATCAGGTTGATGAGCTTGGTTTCTCTGCGTTCAAGAGCGCAATAAGACAAGGCGTGAAACAGCCAAACGAGTGTGAGAAGAAAGGAGGGAGTCAAGTTAATCTGTTGACAGCCTATGGTATGGCATCGCGGGACTAGGAAAAAAGTCGCCCTTGCCGACCGAAAAGGGCGAGCAGGAATCCAGGGACTGACTGGAGAGGAGGAGGAGGAGGAGGAGGAGGAAGAAGAAGAAGAAGAAGAAGAATGGGGGGACGAGAGGGTTTGAAACAAATGCATACATACATTACCGTACCATACCAGACCATACAGCAAAGTACACATGGGCTTGGAGCGGTCCGAGTGGGTGGGCGACTGGCACCTATTAATGTCGGCTCAGATATACATACCTACTAACATATCCGTACATAGACACATACATACATACTGGTTATTTAGACATGAGACGTACGCCATGCGAAACCGCGCTTGATGGTGCGGGACAGGGACCATTTGCGGGTTCTTGAAGCGCGACGAGACGTTCAATGCCACGCTGGATGACAAGGAGGGACGAAAGGGGGGTCCTTGTCAGCTTGACATACCTGACATGGGGCCCTGACGGGGGGAGGGGACAGCACCTACAGTCCACTGGTTCGTTTAGATACCTACCTAGGTAGGTAAATATAGTAGGTAGGTAGACGAGCGGTGAATTGGATCAGGGTACCTCAGGGAGAGTGAGTGATGAATGGGTACATTCCCAGTGCTCTCAAACGTTGCGTGGAGGAAGCCATCTATCTATCTGCCTTGTGTGTCGTGTATGTATGTATACCTATGTAATAAGGAAGCCTGAGAGCCAGCAGAACCCATCTCGAGAGCTCTTTGGTATTGGACTAGACAGGGATTTGTTCACCTGCACCTGTCGTTGCACCCTCTCTCTTGCAAACCCTTGTCGAGCAGTCGGACGAAGCAGAATTGAGAACAACAGACATACCATACATATAACTAGGACTCGGGTTGATGCACCGCTCCGCTGAGAACCCTGGACATGACAATTCAGTTGAAGCCACAGGGCAGGACAGGACAGGGCAGGACAAGTCAAGACTCAAGACAAGGGTAGTGCCTCAAGATCGAAATGCACGAGCCCATCAAAGATGACAAGACTGTCGTTGCCAAGAATGGGTGCTGAATCCCAATTGACTGGGGACGTGACACGACAATGGCCTGCCTCGATAGACTACCTATGAGTAGAGGCTTCAACGGTCTGGCATCTGGGTACTAAGGTACATATCTTATCTTGCCTCGTGGCTCGTGGCTCGAGGCCGGGTACAGGGCATTCCGGGGCATTGTTGAGACAGGGGCTCCCTGTACGTTTCTCTCGCCTAGGACCTTGAGTTGCGGAACGTGTTTGCATACAAGAAAGGCACAGCAGAATTGAGCAGGTTTACAATGTTACCTCAGTAGTAGAGAACAAACACGACAAATCGAGTAATACATACATACATACATACATACATACATACATACATACATAGGTACCTACATACCTACTCAACTATAGTAAAAAGACCATGGTGCTACGGTTGCAATTTGAGCGGCACACGCCGCCTCCTAACTACAGTACTATGTATACCTAGGTACCTTAAATAATGAGAGACGGATGCTCTGAGCGGCAAGAGGTGGAAATGAAAGCCAATACAATAGTCTACGCGCTGTCGATAGTACTAGACTACTAAGGTAACGGTGACGATGACAGTGCATCAAGTATGAGATGAAAATCGAGCCCATGGCGTTACAGACGGACCACTCATAACCACTGATGTGGGAAAATGGTAGACACCCTCACAGCTGATACTGCCTGCCCATCATTCATGCAATATACATACTATGCCTCAGATTCGTCTTGAAACCTTGGCCGATTACCTTCTCTTGATAGTGTATCAACAGTCTCGTCTCTGTCTGTGCCTGGACAAGCACTAGACTCCCGCTATCTGCGGCCCCATGCGATCTAACGAAGCACGACAGAGCCTCTAACCACTTAGCGTCCGAGGCCTTAAGCGGCCCAGCTCAACTGGGCTTGTTTGCATAGCGTTAGGGCCACCGCAAAAAGCAACCATTAGTCTCTTACTCTGAACTCCAACCGCGCATCCTCCCCCCCAAGTCAAAGCCCAGCTGTTGGAGATCCAAGGTAAGGTACCTAATAACTAAGAAGAGGTCGTGATTTGATACCTGATAACTCATACAGTACACACCGGTACTACCCCGTACATAAAGAGTACAGGTGAGACAACACCACTCGAATATATAGGTAGTTTCACATAGCTCGAACTTCATCCATCACCAGCTATTCATTCCCTGTCATCAGTTTGCGTATGTACATACCAGACCTAGGTTAGTACCTACAACAAGACATCGACGACGTATGCGACGAAGTAGTCAATACCTAGGTACCTTAACTAGTACCTACCTAGGTAAGTACCTACCTAGGTAAGTACCTACCTTAGGTAGGGATACCTACCTAGATGGCTAAAAATCTTTAGGGGCATGCTCGCCTTCCTGAAGTGTCCTTCTGCATTAGACCTACATTCCTCCTTTCGGCATTCTCTACGTGAGCTTCAACAAATGATATCACTTCCTCAGTGCTCAGCGGGCAGCCTATTCAAGTGTGAGCTAATTAGGAACTCACAAACAACGGCGGTGATCTACCTTTACTCTAAAAATACCTAGGTAGGCGATGTCTTGGGAGATAGTGAAGGGAGCCAATCAAATCATGGACCAATCAAGGCATTGCTTCGACTGGATCTTATTCATCAGCTCCATGCCCGTTTCCATCTGCAAATTCCATCCTTCTACATCTACATCATAGTAGCGGTAGGTATTACGGGCGAGTCTGATCATATCTGCTGTGTAGGTAGGTAACAATCGATAACCCTCTTGTTTATCTCAGGGTCTGTCAAATCTATGTAGAGACACTTCCTGACAACTGACGTCGTATGCTGCTGAGCCAGGGTTCCCTGAAACTGACACGACGGCGTTTTTTCATCATTAACTATACGCTGCCAAGCCGGAGCGTATAATGTCTGCCACTGTCTTGGACTGAGGAGACCTTTCCCCAATTCCAAGAAACTCATTGGAATGTCACGTTTATCTTGAGGGGGTTTCTTACCGCCCTTACAGATTCAAGGGCACACATAGTCACTCCTGATGGCTAAATCAACAATTCTATAGATGTAATCAGGATAGACTGGACTGGACTGGACTGGACTAGGCATTCACTCAGAAACAATACCTTGTACAAGTAGTGTTTTCGGCAAATTTATCAAGATCCGCTTCCTGGTGCTCTACGCGAGTGGGAAGGAAACGGACAAGGGAATAATTGTCCCCCACGGTTCGGTACAGTCCCACAACAAGTGAGCAACCTGAAACATCGCCGGGATGTCGACATTGACCTCCATCGCAACCCCATTTCTTGAGTAACTATCCATATTCTGGCATCTTTCTCACCTTTCCCCGACCATCTCCAACAACACAGCACACGGGCTCGCACGAATCGAATAGGTCATGGCCCGACTAGGAAAGGTCTAGTTGCCAGCTCTTCTATGTATGTATGTGTGTACAGATATCATCTCCATCTTTCTTTGTCATTCGAGCCATCAATCGTTGGAGCTGCAAGCTACTGCAGGTGCTGTTTCAGGACAAGCTGAGGTCGATCGTTCAGGTCAACCCCCCCCCGTTCATCGTGTCAAGCAGCGTGGCAGTCTTGATCTGACAGCTTCTACGCACTCGATCATTTCGGCCGAAAGATTTAGGACGAGTTCCAGACCCTATTGCCCTACCTCTGGATGTATCGACGACAAGCAAGCCTGTCGACTGGAAGCGAGACGGTGAAAGCTCTCAGTTCCGGTTAGTCGTGCGTCAAGCTAGATGCATCTGGGTATCGCAGGTCGGCCTTGTCTTCGAGATACTGCATCCATTTCTTCAAGAAGCTGCTTCCCCTGTGAAACAGGCACGTTAATAATGTCTCGTCTCAGGTGAATGGTTGGAACAATCTGCGCAGCACTTTGTCAAACCAGCGGCTGCAGCTTCGGGGCCCAGGTCCCCATCCCAAGTGCACTGCATCATCGCTTACCTCTGAACTGTCTCCGAGTCTCCGATAACCGTCAAAGAACGCTTCGGGCGTGTCATTGCGACTGAGTACACGTGTATTAGTCAAGCCAATCTTTCGATGTCCGGATAACCTAAATCATGACGGTAAGCATCGGGATGTCACCTTACCGTTGAGACGGCGCTTCTCGCCGAGGAATCCAACCTCGCCCTCAGAGTTGCTCCGAACAAGGCTCACGATTACGGCCTCTTTTTCGCGACCTTGAAAGCCGTCAACACTACCGAGCTCAAGGCCCGGGAATTTGTCTTTCAGCGGAGCTAGTATGGCGAGCTTATAGACCGCTCACAGTCAACATACGTCTGTATCATTCTACATTTTGGGACGTACCTGGGCATTGTAAGGTGTCACGACAGCTATATCTTCTGGGCGGACCCCGGCACCCACGAGCTGCCTCACGTGCTGTTGCACAAGAGCAGCCTCCATCTCGTTGCTCTTACTGTCACCATGCAAACCTGCTCTGCCCTTTCTAGGAGTCTCCTTTTCGTCTTCCTCGTTCTTTTCGGGAAAGTCAGCTCCCTGTGTATCTATGAAGATGACAGGTTCATTGGTGTCCTCATTGTCCTGGACCTCATATTCAAGGTCTTTCAGGAGGCGATGTTTCACCGCATCAGCAGCGATCAACTTGGAGTCGTATAATTCATCAGAAGGGAACCGCATGATACTCTCGTGCATTCGATACTGTGTGGTTAGCATGCGTTTGATGGAGGGCCCATGCAATGCCAGCAGTCTGTCAAACAAGGTGGTCTCAAGCGTGGTGCCCTTTGTGACCTTTGCGCCATCTTTGACTGGCGCCTTGACCTTTGCATTGCTTGACTTGATGGTTGGCGGGAGCTGCAGATGGTCACCAGCACAGACAACCTTCTTAGCAGATACGAGAGGGACCCAACACTGGGCTTCAAGGGCTTGGCTGGCCTCGTCGATGATAACAACATCAAACTCATCGTTCCGCAACTGATAGCCTCCTGCCCCATGCAGTGTTGCAAGAACGACCTTGCTGCCGCCAATTAGTGTGCTGACACAGCGACGTTCTCGTTCACGAAACTCTTTTCTCAGTTCTTTGAGGTCAGTGTAGATCGCTTTGCGCTCCTTGCCGCTTTTCGTCTTCTTGATCGAGGCCTGCTTGGTGTCCATTTCTGTCCTGATATCTTTCACAATAGCACCCGCTTCTGATGTTTGCGTGAGTACGTCGAGCGAGTGGTCAACCACGGAAGGCAGCAGACGAGCGGGATGACCCAGACGAAGGATCGGGATCTTGTGAGGAGCTAGTCGCTCGACGATGTTGTCAACAGAAATGTTGGAGGGCCCGCAGACAAGAATTCTTTGACCCAGTTTGATCATCTGGAGAATCAGCTCGATTAGAGTATGAGTTTTGCCAGTCTACGCATAAATATGTGAGCAAGTGTTTTCCACTTCAGTTTAAGTAGGCCACTCACTCCCGGGGGCCCATGAATCAATGCGACTTCTCGAGACAGCAAAGCAAACCGAATTGCATTCTTTTGAGAGTCGTTGAGCGTTGGATCAAACCACTCGAGATTGCACACGGTTTCATCTTTAGATAAGTCTTCAGAAACTGGTGATGGGCTGGATAAGCCGAAGAGAACTCTGATGAAACTAGAATATTCCGACTCTTGCATTTTGTTCAGCTTCTCCATTGCCCAGTTCATTCTTCAACGGGGATGGTTAATTGTGTGATCGCTGTCAGTTATGAAGGTCAAGACTCAACATACCTCTTGTATGTCACTTCGTCTGCCAATTTGACAGCCCATACTCTGCCCGAGAAGCCAACTTCTTCCTTCCCCTCATCGATCGCAACAGCAATCCATCCTCTGCTCACTCTGGTGACAACACCTCTCGCTCCCTTCTTCTCCAAATCCTTTACTTCACGCTTTTTGGCGCTTCCCGCCGGCTGCTCAGCGACAAGAACAATGTCTCCAGTGCGCAAGCCATGCTCAGGTAGCTCGTCAGGTGAGCCCGTGGCGGCATCCGGAGAGAGCTCAAGAACTGTTCGGCCCCCAAGACCCGTACGCTGGCCCGAGACAACGAGGTTTGTCAGAGCAAGGCCAGCTCGTTGAAGGGCTGTGGGGCTGTGGTTGGAGATGAGTGTGCTTGTCTCGTTGATCTCTGTCTGAAGTTCTTGTTCAAGAAGAGCGATTTGGGTGGTTGCAAAGGCAGGAATATCGACTGGCTCTCTTTTGACAGACATTATTACTGACTTTGTGTTGTTGCAGATGTAAGTGTATGTAAGAGAAGAGCAGAATACGAGGTGGGGGATCTTCCATGATCAGACCCCGCCATAGCCCGCTCTAACGTTAGTTGTCTACCTACCTACCTACCTTAGCTACTACTCCTACAACGGTACCTTAGTTAGCAGCTACTTACTTCGAGCGAAGTCATGATGCTTCCTATCATGAGAGCTCAGACGTACCCAATGACCTATAAAATAAAACTGACAGTAATTGGTGTCTCTCACTTCCGATATTTGTATATATGCCAGCCTATAAAATCATACGAACAGAGCTCAACATTCAAATACTCCTATGGTATCAAGTCATGATGCAAACCCCCATAAATGCGCCGCATCAAAAGCAAACCACTTGCGATAAGCAGAAACATTATCGCTCCAGCGCGAATAATGCAATAATAGAAGTGACCTCAAGTCATGCCAGAGTATACTACAAGTCGGGTCGCAAAATCATAGCTCATGCTCAGACGGGTGGATAGCAATGACGACCACAAGAGAAACAACCATGATGGCCAAGGCGACAAACGCAACAATCATGATTGTACCACGACTGGCGGGAAACTTTCCCTGCATGACCCAGTGCTGGGATTGGAAATAGCGTTTGTAGCCAAGGAAGAGAATTAGTATACTGATACCGAGGAACGTGGTCCCAAGCGGCTTGCCCATATGTCGTAGCGTCTGGGTGTTGCTCCGAGAGTTATTGCCATGCTCGCTTTCGAGAGACGTATTGAGACGAAAGAGCTGTGTCACTGCTATCCCTATGGATGCAAAACTGAGAGATGTGCGAAGCCATGCTAGAAATGTTCGTTCTTGGGAGGTCGTTAGATTGTTAACCCGAAGTACCAAGGGTGAGGCTTACCGATGGCGAGGTGATCTCGGGCAACGCTGCCTTTGTTCTCCAGCTCTATCGACTGAAACTTCTCTGCCTGAGTTTGCCACCACGATGTATTCCCACTCTCCGAATTGGCTTGTCGAGTAGTCTCCGGGTTCTGGGCAGCACCATTGTTTTGTTGGGAAGATGGTCGTTGGCGTAGGGATGGTTTACGGATCTGCGGGGCCGAGGTTGCAGTACTTGTAACATTAAGCGAGTTGTAATTGAGAGGCGGCGTATGAGATATGAACCCAGTAGCCTCGTCGGCGCTGCTGTCCTCGTTGACAGGGCTCGGCCTGAGCGATGAGTTTGGCGGAAGGATGGGACTGCCGGCGGCCCGGGGTGAGAGATGGGTAGGAGAAGGACCAGCCATTGATTCGGCGCGTTCACGAGCGTTCTGTTACGAGGAAAAGTCGTTCCTGTTAGCGCTCACTCAACATTGGGGTGCTGTGCTCAAGCGAGGGATAGAAAGAAGAATAACGAGGAGGAGGAGGAGGAGGAGGAGGAGAGCCAGAAGAGCACGCGAGATTCGGATGATCTTTCGGAGGCTAAGGTCTGGATGTCGAGCAGGGGGGCCGGCAGTTTCCCAGACGCCACAAAGACCAACGGCGAGATGGATAGTCGACCACATGCATGTTGATATCTACCAGGACCGGTACCAGCCTGAAGTGCTATCGGGCTTGTACGGAATAGCTGCCAGCCCGCATGACATGCAAAGAACGGACCATGATAAGAACATGGCTGTACCGCACACTGTCTCATGAACCACCCGTGCCGTGTCTTACTCACTTGCTCGCTTCACAAGAACGGGAGGATACACACCTCAAGTATCTCATTTATGCGTACATTTGACGACGAATGCCGTCCTAGTTGAAACCCGACACTTGAAGCTTGTGGGGCGGGGCCATTCGCATTTGAATCTGCATTGGCATCTGCATCTAGAGCATTCTCAGCCATCACAAGCAGCACGATTGATTGGTGAGAGTCAAGGGGCCTGGCGAGAATAGAACGCGGCTAGACTGTACTGCGGTAGAGCGTTAGGAACAGACGGAACAGTTCTAGTACGATATGGCGAGCGTTGCGTGTGCGTGTGCGTGTGCGTGCGTGTTTTCCAACGTTGACATGGAAGGTTATTGTAGAGTCAAAGAACATTTGAGGTCAAGACAAGCTTACCTAGTCTCAGGTCCTAGTACCCAACTACCGTAGCCTCCTACAGTGGGGTTGTGGCCTGTGACAGGTGCTCCGCACTCTTCAGCGGCTGAAGCATCTGTATCTCCATTGGATGACACCAAATTAAGCAGAAGCACGTCATACCTAGGTAGGTAGGTATAGTAGTGTAAGGGAAGCAGAATGACGACGGTGAGACCAACAAAGCTATCGAGGTCTGAATACCTTCACTTTGACATGTTTAAGCCAATGTTCTCTCCATAGCGGTGAAATCATCATGGATAGGCAAGTAGGAGTCTTTGCTGAATTCTCTAACAGAATCTGTTGGTCAGAAGACATAACACTGTCATATGATCATTCTATGACGGGCGCATTGTGACGAGTTGCAAGACTCCCAAGAGTGGTTCATCTCATACCCGCTGGTACTGACTATTGCGATTTATCGTCTTCCTTGTCTAGTACAATGATAAACGGGACAATTTATCCTAGATGCTCTATTATACCTCCTGATGTTAAACATGGTGTTGCCTGTGTCACTAACGATCCCGGAGAGTCTATTAAAATGCCCCATGGCCTCCCTCATTCGATACCTTGGTCAGTTAATTAAGAAGCTTTCGCGCTTCATGCCTGGAAAACGCGCTCACTACTCGCTACCTGATCACAGTATATACTACGTAGCAGGCCAACAACTCCTAGTGGCTCTTGTATCTCCGAGTCCTGTTCTATACATCCTCCCTTCTTCGGGTCTATGAAATCGCAAACTCCGGACTGCCCTACTAAACACCGGATCTGACTCTCCACTGCCGGCATTTCGCATCCGAATCGTTTTCCTATTTAGGAAACCAATCCAATGCTCCACTGGCTGACTCTACTACCCGCCGGTTTAATTCCGGAATCTGCTCTTACAACCGTGTAAGAGAACCACGATGGCATCATGGAGAAGCAATAGAGTCGAAAAAGAAGGTGGGTTCTAAGAGGAGTAGAATATTTAAATACAGAGATTAGGTAGCTCGAGAGACATTATTTCCTCATCATATCAATTTGCATCACACTGTTCTAAACAACTTCTTCTCCTACAGATAATTCGATCTTCATCTTCCCTATATACCTACATTACTTCCACTTCCATCAAACTCAACATGGTTCGCCAAATCCTCGGCAAGCATGTTGGACCTATCGGCTTTGGTCTCATGGGTACTCATCCCCCTTGATGAACCACAACTTCTTGTTGTTACTATGCTGACCACTCCCAAGGCCTGACTGCGAGCCCTCTACCTGACGCGGATGCTTTCGCCGCCATTCGCACCGCCCTCGACTCGGGTTGTAACTGGCTCAACGGTGGGGAGTTCTATGGACCCCCTGATGCAAACTCACTAGCTCTCATGCGCCGATACCTTGAAAAGTATCCAGAAGATGCTGATCGGATTGTTCTCACCATCAAGGGGGGCCTGGGCCCTAACTACGTGCCTCTCGGGACCAAGGAGAACATTCGCCGCAGTATCGATGATTGCCTCAAAACCCTGGGTCCTGTTGGCCGGATAGCTTCCTTCGAAATCGGCCGCAAGGACCCCAATGTTGACTACGAGGATGACACTCTGGCAGCAATCAGCGAGTATGTCAAGGATGGCAAAATCGACGGCATCTCGTGCAGCGAGCTCAACGCCAACACACTCCGAAGTGCTGCAAAGAAGTTCAAGATTACTGCACTCGAGATTGAGCTTTCTCTATTCACCACGGACCCCCTGACCAATGGCCTCCTCGAGGTTTGTGGCGAACTTGACATCCCAGTTCTTGCTTATTGTAAGTACTCTACTCCAACACCCCAGGAAGTGACATGATCACCGACACAAGATTCTAGCACCCCTCGGGCGAGGTTTCCTCGGAGGACAGATCAAGTCTGTCGAGGATCTTCCAGAGAATGACATGCGTGCCAAGATCCACCCACGCTGGCAAGGCGACAACTTCCGCAAGAATGTCCAGCTGGTTGATGATATCGAAGCCCTTGCAAAGAAGAAGGGATGCACAGTGAGCCAGATCGCCATCAACTGGCTCTTATCTCTCTCTCATCGCCGGGGGATGCCTACGATCGTGCCCATCCCTGGCTCCACCAAGCCTGACCGTATCCGCGAGAACGCGACAACCATCGATCTTACGGAAGAGGACTTGCGCGATATCGACACGCTACTTGCATCTTTCACACCTGCCGGTGATAGATATCCGCCTCAACACATGAAATACGTCAGTGCTTAGGAACAAATATTGCGGAATAGGTTCAGGGTGCGAACTGGAGGCGTCGCAACATCGGGCAGTATTAGCTGTGTATCTTGTAGACCAAATAAACACCATCGTTTCAGCTTCTTGGGCGAGGAGTTACCGCCGAGACTTGGCTTGGCCCAACATCGTTGCCTATTGTCCAAATTTGGGTGTGCATAAGAGGGTATTGGACATAGAAGACATTTCAAGTTGTAAATTTTTGTAAATGCATTCATACAATCAGTGATAGAGTCATGGTCCTCGTATGAAGGTCGTTTCAAACAAGCCAACAATAGCAACACTTTGTCCATCAGACGACCAGATCGACCGGCACGGGATAAGTGCCACTTCGCATGTATCTTCAAGGTTGTTCCATATGGAAACAATTTGAGTCGCATCTGCATACACCAAAGTCAATTTGGTTTGTACCGTTTCTGGCCCATGAGGGTGGAGTTGATGAAGTGATTCCTGCATGATTTTGCACATATCGATCTTCAGAATTTCCAGGGAAGCAGAATGAGGCCTATCAGCATAATAATATGCTGCTGTACTGTAGATTACAGTAGCACTTGTGGTCGTGACGACTGAATGCCACGCTTTCCAGCCTGGAAGCGTGAGCTCAGGCAAGGAACACATCGAAAAACTCGCCTCTTCCATTTTTGAAAGGCCATTGTGAGCGTGCCACTCCACAGCAGCCTGCCGTGGCAGCTCTTCCACTTCAGCAGCAAACATAGGCGGGATACATGTCTCAGGCTCATTCTGTTGACGGAGAGTCAGTGCCTCCCAGTCCGGAAGGGGTTTTCGGGCTGTCTTGTCATCGTTACAAAGCGACATGTAAGCAGGGTTGTATTTCAAGTCCCAAAGATCAGGGCCGTTATCACCGTCCACCTCCTCATCCGGGGATCCGTGTGCTTGCTTCCAAGCATACCCTGCCAGCTGGGCGCTGCGCTGGATTCCAGACGAGTTGGCACGGGGGAAGTAAGCAACTGAGCTTGTCCACCACTGAATTTTCATCTCCTGACCAACTCGCCACAAATGTTGCAGAGATAGAACAATTTGAAGCTCGCGTGACTTCTCAGACGTGGAAGGGAGGACCATTGTTGCCGGAATCAAGGGGATTTGACCGGCAATGGAGATGCACCGAAGACCTGTACGCTGGTCATGAGCTGTCACGGGCACGTCTATCGCCTGACTGTAGGGGCCAATGTTTGCAGGTGCCCAGTATGACCTGGACTGGACATGGAGACCATTGCGGTCCTGTGTCGCTCTAGGTGTAGGAGCAGCTAAGGAGATGGCAATATTCACACCAGCCGGCAGGAGGTCGCCACACGAAATGGTCACTCGTGACGGTGGGTTTGGCTTGGTGAATATCTTGCCGTACTCGCCATTAACCTTAGGAAAGTCCGACATGCGCCTTAAGATGACGATGGTACTTGTGATCTGAGAGAGTTGAACACCGGCCCCTGACGCCAAATCTCTGATCTTCTCTATGACCTGGATGGTTTCATCTTGTATCGACATTTCACCCGTCCCCAGGTCTGGAAGTACGGACCAACGCAGAACCTCGCTATCAGTAGTGAAGGCTCCTGCATCTTGGGGTAGTGACGTCAAACTCCTTGAAATAGCAGAAGCCTTTGCGACTTTGAACTCGTTCATAGGTTGTGGCAGGTCGTCAAATACAGACTTGAAGTGAGGATCGAGGAGACTGGGGATCCGAGCAGCTGGTTTGGCTGCAGCATCACGCTTGTCTTCTAACCGTGCATCACCCAACATTAGCCATGAGCAATCACCTCCTTCACGCACTATCCTACGCCCCTGTTCCGGGACAACAATTCTCTTCTTGAACACGGACGATGGGCCATCCAGGACGATTGTCTCGAATTCACCACCTTCTCCCAGGGCTGCCGCACCTTGAGCAGAGCCAAACTTGCTTAATGCATTTTTGACACGACTCGAGCCTGCTTCGCTTGACACACGTTCCCAGAGATGGTTCTCGTCTAGTCCAGCACTGGCAACTTTGATGATCCGTGCCTCTAGTCCAACATTGGCCATATCGATCAACAACTGGGTATCGGCTGAGATGGCTGCGGATGGGGGTGGTAAGACTGGATACTGCCATAAGTAGGCCAGGGGCACAAGACCTAGGCGCAGTGCTATTGACTCAACACGGGTGCGCTGGTAGGTGGAGAGGATGGCACCGGCGCATACAGCATTAGCCTCTGGATGGCGGGCGATGATGGACTGTAACAAGGGAAGCATGGACTCCGTCTCGTCGCTGTCCTGGGCATTAGCCGTGGCATCGTAGTCCCTCTCATGGCGAACCGCACGCCCAGTGATGGGTAGCCGATATAACGGTAGGCCAGTTGCATCGGCATACAGGGGGAGGACTTCGTGCCCGACTGTTTGGTACATGAAACTATTGAGGTCCGTGTCGGAAGATTCCCCGGAGCCCTGGGCTTCCCGAAGCCCGTCATAATCCCCTGTGGCAGGATCAGGCGGCTGGGGTGCCCAGGTACCCGGATCGATGTGCTGGAAGCCCACGGGAGATGAGAGATCCAAAGGTGCCTGGAGATTGGTCTCTGGTCCAGCCTTGGTGGCGTCTTCCCGACGGAACGGTGATTGTCCGCCTGAAATGGCAGAACTTGAGTCTGGTGCTGGTCCTGGGAACAGGTTGGCAAGAGCCACGATCTGATGGCCGTGCTCGATACAGTGGATCAAGCTGAAAAAGCTATCTTTGCCCCCCGATATAAGAGCAATGACATTGAGCTTTTCAGAAGACATGGTTGATGTAACGGTGGCCGTTGACCAGGCACTGCTCTCTGGAAGTTGTACGCAGTCAGTCAGGCAGCGAATTTAGAAGCTGGGAAATGAGACCTGAAAGATAGTTCTAGCAGTAATTTAGCAATTATTCTAAATACGGGGTGGAAGGCTTGAAGAAAGCCTCTGGCGTACATACTTTTAATTAGGAGCGGACATTTGGTGTGGTGTACGGAGTAGTGTAGCGGAGTTTGGTGGTGAATGGGGATGTGTGTAGTGTAGGTAATAATTGGTGATATTGATAGCGCCAAGCTGATTCATTTTGGTGGTAGACGTTTAGGCTGGTTTCTCTGTGGGCCCCCTGCCCTGGGCTTATAACCATCAAGCTTGACCAGGTAGGAAGGTACTAGGCAAGCTACCTACAGTACCTAGTAAGGTACCTTGGGCATTTTGCGATACTGAAGCTTTTGTTAGCCCGTGAGCTACGTACTACTCCGTGAAAAGGGATGAGAAAGTCGGTTCACCATGTTTCATCTTGGGTTTGGCTGAACTAAAACAAAATAAACAAGTGCCCGGCTGTGCTGTGATCTAATCTAGCAAACCTTTGGTCTACCGAGCCAAGAGCTTATCTTTTCCCCGAGACCTCGACTTGACCAGCCGGATCCAATGCCAATGTTTGGAAACGAAAGGCGTCAGATTGTCAATATTAATTAGCCTGGAAAATGGCAATCCAGTGACATTCAACCGTCAAAGTCCCATCTCATCCCATCTCTATCTCTATCTCATCTCCGGCTCAGGCTCAGGCTCCTCTTTGTATTGGACCTAGTGACTGGGAGTCGACCCGGCAATGAAGATCACCCGAAGACGGTATGTACGAGATGGCAATCCAGGGTCTCTGGTTCAGCACCAAGTTTTAGGTAAACAATGAGGATCCTATGTACAACATTACATACTTCGTACCTACTCACCTCACGTCGCGAGTAAGGTAATCAATCAGTCCCACTGACAGACTGCGCTATCCTGAGATTTTCAACACCACCACCGGCGCCAACACGGACAGCACGGACAGGGTCCTCGTTCCTGAGCGCCCAAGGCGCCACATAAGATCGCCGATCCGAACTGGACTTTTCTATTCCGACCTAGCCTCGACTGAAAGATCCGTCGACAAGTGGTGAACAGACTACAAAGAGACAGGTAGGTCGCAAGCCACCAGCTGGAGATACAGTAGTTACACCAAGGATTCAAGAATGGAATGGAGTCACAGGCAAGCATTGTGTAAATTGTTGATCAATAGACCTAACATCTAAATTGTACATGAATTGTTGTGAGGATGAGCGTCTGTCAATGACTGTGACCGGCACACTCCTGTACTCGACATCTCTAAAATCCAGCAACAGGCAAACGACAGACAAAGAATCAGAGTAAACACAAGAATATGGAAGAAAAAAGACAGACGCCTTCATCTCCCACTGCTCTCAAGTGATACCGTCGTCCCGGCGAGCTTTCAGTTCCAGCTTCCAGCCGCACGGGATGATTACAACGAGTGTAAAGAACGGCAAGCCGCCAAGTTTTTATGGTGGTCGTTGTCGTTGGCAAACTCATCCATCACCATTCTGATGTGAAGTGAGGAGCCGCTCCCAAATGTTCTCAAACCCAAATAATTTTTCCCCTCTCGCGCCAGTTGTGTCCATTGAATAAAGTCACCAGAAACCCAAGTGTAACCAGCTGTGTCGCACGGCTGACCTTGGCGATGCATTGCAATTCTTCAACAAAAACAAAAAACCGATGAAATCAAATGTCCTCCCTAGTGTCGTGATGCGTAGCGAGGCTGTGGATATTGTTGATACAGGTATTGTGACGATGTGTAAATGCATTCATTATCGCTTGCACTCTTTTGTGTGTGAAGACTCCCTTTTACCCAAGGTTGTAACCTAAATGGAAAAAATGTTCCGTGACCCAAATGCCACCGTCAAAATTGAGCGGATGGCCGAAGAAGAAGAAGGTCGTCAGCGTCGTATCGGGCGTATGTCAAGATAATCGACTACCTTTCTTGAGCATTTTGAATGATGTATGATTGATGGACCATTTAGTCAGAGCGCTTGCGCTTCTTCTTGCCCTCATCGATGCCCTCGTCAGACGACATTTCACTTGCACTGCCAGGAATCTCGGAGGCAATCTGAAACAAGACCTTGCCGTAGTTGCTGTAATCTTCGGCCGTGGGAGGGATCATAGAGCCATCATATGCGTGCGAGTCGTCATCAATGAGGTTCATGACGATGGCACCGCTACCATGGGTTCGAGCATGCTGGGCCAGATTGTCGCTTCTGGAGAACTTCTTGCCACACTCATTGCACTCGAAAGGCTTCTCTTGGGTGTGAAGAGAACGGTAGTGGCGCTTGAGGTGTTCCTGGCGACGGAAGCGACGGTTGCACAGATCACAGACGAAGGTCTTTGAAGGGTCCTCGGTAAGGGACTGCTTACGACCGCGGCGGTTGGCGGGAGCAGGGAGAGGAGCAGGGGAACCCTCTGAGCCAGATGAGGCAGCAGAGTCGCTAGCTTCAGCAGCCTGGTTGGAAGACTCCTGAGTGTTGCCAGATTCGGTGGCGGAGGCAGCCATATTCATGACAGGGCCGACGGTGCTCTCCTTGCCGTGAGTCTTCTTGGTACGCTTGTCCTTGTGGCAGTCCTCGGACGCACAGGAGACAGGAGGGCTAGGGTGAGACGGAAACTGGAATGCTTCGTTGTCGTCAAATGAAAGGTCCTCGTCACCGATGAAGCTGCCGTGTCCAAGGGAAACAACTGAGGAGCCAGTGCAAGCCCGGGGCCGGGTGATGTCAGCAGAAGCAGAAGCAGGCTGCTCAGTAAGATTGACGAGGCTGTTGACGAAATCGTCCTCAGACTCGAAATCAGAAAAGTCTTCAAAGGTGGGGAGGCCGTGGGGAACAGCAGGATTAAACTCAAAAGGCTGAGCAGGAATCTTGGGCTCAACCTTGATCTCGTCGAGAGTGAATTCAGGGGCGAGGGTGCTGTTGATGGCACCAGTACCGACGGTCAGATTCCTTGGGTCGCAGAAGTCGACGTCCAAATCCGGTGTAGAGACGGAGCGGGCATAAGGCGCGGGTGAGGGAGACAAAGACGGCGTGGACACAAGGTCGCTGGCGGTGTTGCTAAGAGAGGGAACCTTGCCGAGTTGAGATTGAAGGTACACTATCATGCACAGTTAGTCTCCATCAGGTTATTCCCGTGTTTGCTCCACTGTTCAGGTACTGGGACAGCGCACTGCAGGTCTGCGCCTCAGAAGGTGATTGGGCCGAGATAGCGACAGCCAACGTCAGCACCACCATCTTTCCCGCTACCAAAAATAGGCTCAAGCCCGAACTTGCGGCACAATACCATTGTGCGATCCGGGTAATTGGAGGCTTTCAGATAAAAATAAACTTACCAGGTGTCATTGGGGGAGATCCGCAGTTGGACCAGTCGAGCACTGCGGTATCAACAGGCTCGAGAGCCTCCTTGAAGCCATCGATGCCATCCAGCCCAGAAAACATGGGGTTCATCGGGGTCTGGAGCACCTCGCAGGCGCTTGGGCTGCCAATGGTACTGCCAGATGTTGACAGGGGCGGTGTCGAAGGGAAATACGAGTTCTCGTACAGCTCATTCTCCAACAGAATGGCAGGCTTATGCGACATGGGCTGTGGCGAGGCAGTAGGAGTCATGACTGTTGGGCCATTGCTGTACAGAGTGGGGGGCTGAGAGTTGCTAGCTGAGCTGGGCCGCGAGTAAACTGGAGTTGAGGGCAGTGTAGGAACCATGGGATACATGTGCATTTGTTGCTGGGCAAAGTGTTGTCGCATATCATGCTTGGACTCAGGGTTGTAGAAATAGAAGGGAGCTTGGCCGACGGCCTGGGGCATCATTGTGGAATCCATTTCTATACGAGACTATCGTGTTAGCCACATATCCATTGTCTGGTATTTGCAGGATTCCACAAACCTTTAGAGTTGGCTGTGGTGTTAGCGGGCTGGATAGTTTAGATATTAAGTTGGTATTGGTGTATGTATAGTTTGCTTGACTGGCAATCGGCCTAATGAAGGTGCAGTGTTCGGTTCTTTTGTGGTGTTCCAAAGAGTGGACGACGAGTTGAGACTCGGTATTAGGTGCGTGAATTGGGGACGTTCTTGTTGTACATGTAAGGTCTCAAGTCTAGTCCAAGGAAGTTGAAGCAAGAGCAAGAGATTTATCAAGTATATCGAGAGTGCCGCAAGAGGTGGTTATAATGAATGTGAGGGACTCTCGAGGAACGAGGATATCCAGCAAATAAGAACGATTCACAAAAGAAGGAAGAACCTGGTATAAAAGAGAAGAGAGTATTACAGAGATCCGACGCGGCTGTCGATCATACCTTTCGATGAGGAGGGAAACGAAGGATGGACAAGCACGGGGACGTGGAGTGATAAGTACTGACGACGAGACCTGGCGTATTCACACCAGATGTGCTTGATAGGCAGTCAGTTAGAAAACCCTCCATGTCGTGTCTCAATCACCAAGCCAGGGTCAGAGAGCTGTGGATCATGATCCACCACCACCACATCCCATTCTCTGGATCCACCACCCTCACTCTCTGGTTCACAGGCCTGTCACTCGCAATCTGTCCCACGCCCATACACGCCCTCAAGGGCCCAGCGGCGGACCAGACGGCAGAGTGCCCCCAGGCCCCTGTCAAAGCACCCAAGTCATGTCTGGGGCAAGGGAAACATGAGGTGCGGGCCTGGGCGTCCCTGGTCTTCTTCAACTTAAGCCCATGGGCATACTAAGCATGGCAGTCGTCCGCCAGTCTTGCCAGTACGGGCCATGGGGGCCACGGCTCCCCATCCACACCACTATGGCGCAGCCACTGGCTTTTCTAATTCTGGACGGTATCGGCTGGGAACCTCGAGCCTATCCGTCGCCGGATGGCCCGCCGCGGTATGAGAGTAGTCCCCCGAAGCCTATCCAGTCCCAACTTTGTACACCAATGCAACAAC